TGTAGTCAAAAAAATACGACAACAGAGCCAAGTTACTACTTTTAGAATGGCGGCCGGACGGGAAAGAAAACACGCATACATTAAATAATGAACTTGATATAGAGACTGTGATATTATTCAAGTAATACAAACTTACCGAAACAGAACACTGCGGACTCTGGATTCTCTGACCACATTCCACTTTCACATTTCAATTCAGGCCCACCAAATAGACTGTAACCATCGGTTGAATTACTCTGGTCACATGCAAGTGTTAAAATATCGCCATCATTATATGGAGCTGAACCGGAAATAATCTGTACTCTTTTTTTTAAAGTGCCGGGTGTGGGACATCCTGGAATATACACATAATACGTATATCTAATTGACTGTCACATTTACTCACAATAATGTGTCATTTCTTTCAGCTCGGTGTGTTATATTCACCACACATATTATATTAACTATTAATAGCATATATCGTGTGACATCTATGGCTATATTTCATTTTAATCTCCACGACTACCATTTACATATCCGTCAGAACAATTACAATATAATTAAAATTCTATGGAATATCAATATTGGAACACGTTTAAACTCATTAGCATTAGATGTGCATCTTGATGTGTTATAACAACGGATTATGTGTGATGGTTAATCGACTAGGCATATTAGTATTAGTGTGCGTCCCGAAAAAGGGAGAGCAGATTAAATTAGACAGGCTTCTCAAATATTCATAGTTTTCGGAGAATACTGTTCACTCGATATAAAAATTTAGATGATGAATTAGCGAACGTTGCGTTCTTCCAATAAATTATATTACAGTTGATATCAAGTAGTTTTGTTATTTTTCAATTTATTATTTTTGCGTCCAAAAAACGTATAGAAATTGAACCGAATATGATACATTTTTGGTAAGAATAATGCTAAAGTTCAACGAACTGTATTTAGACGAGAACGATCAGCCGATTAGATTCTTTCATTTCATCAGTAAACTTTATAACTTTAGATTGTTTTACTTGCCACATGTTATTGTCGTGCATCCTACGAGTGTACTGTCACCATCAAATCCATCAAGCGTGAAATTTGTGTTAGAGCCCTGTCGTAGTTCAGCGCATACGTACGTAGCACATGTTTCAGGGGTCACCGCGTAATCAAAATCGAATGTGATAGCGCCACCTGGCGTCAGATCCTGGTCTGTCTCCTCTTGAGATAAATTGGAATCGGATTCCAAATATCGTGTAGCGCCAGAATTGGATTCACTGAGAAACACTTTAATAACCCAAAGATTGCTCCCAGTAGCACCAGCTCCAAGACTGCTACTTGTAGCATCCACAACTAATGAAAGTGTTGACTCTTGTGTCGGTATCAAAGGTAGGCCACTGTTGACTGTCGTCACAACTTTAGTAATTATAGTACCTGTAATATGACATTTGGTCTATTAAGCAAGAACTATCATCAATTCTAACGTTGTCAGATTTCATAAGAGGTAATACGATTTGATTGTAATCCAACTTACTTCGACATAAAGGTACCGAGTTATCCCATGTTCCATTATAACACGTCAGAGTAGAACTGCCTATCATAGTTTTCCCTCCGTCACACTCGTAAGCAACGGAACCCGCGTGTACGTAACTTGCACCGTCGACTTCTTTGCCATTTTCTGGAGTGTCGGGTTTTTGGCAATTTACTATAAAAGTGAAAACGTTTAAGAATATATGTCTATGATTAATTTGCCATTCGAGCCTTGCACAATTGATTTAATAAAATATGTAATTTTAAGAATGATAATATAGGAATAGTAAGGCGATTGTGTATATTTGTCATAAATACACCACACTCCAAAACCTACAGCGATGTATTAAAATCAATTTATTTATACCGGTATATGATTGGGAATACACTCGGAGAATATTTCGCATCTCTTAATAAGTTTCATTGTCACTTACAGAAACATAATTCTGGTGGAAGAGCTGTTTGTATATTACCCCCGACTGTCCAGTTTCCGTCGTCGCACGTGAACGTGTCTACACCGTACGTCGTGGTATTAACACCACATGTAAACGTAACCTGGTCACCTGTCTCATAATATGAACCATCTACCGTTGGATCTGGACTTCGTGATCCTAAACTTGGATTTCCTGGATCCAGACAAAGCCCTGAAAAATAAAGTTTTACAAAACTATATCACAGATAAACACTTTTGAACAATGTACGTTATTGTTGTACTATTTGTCTTTGAAAAGTGATTTAATAATGCAAAATAACAAAAAATGTAGTGAAACCGTGACCGTTTGTTGAATAATTAGTATAAATTTAATATGTGCGTTAGCATGCTCTTTCGGTAGTTTGTAATAATATCATTCATAAACACCGTAAATAATCGTGATTCACAGATAATAATAATTATTTAGGACAGAATACATTAATACACTAATTTTCACACGTGAAGAATACAAAAGTCAGTCAAAATGTTAAGAATGCAATATACTACACTGGGTTAATTATGCATAATCAACTATTGCGAAATAAATTGAGTGTGAAACAAATCAATGCCTAGACATTCATTCGCAAATTATCAGTCGATGATGGTCTTGAATGCAATTATATTACGTTGCTGGATTTAATACATTTAAGCTAATTTGAGTGCATCGTCCAAAAACATGCCTGACATATAACAGTTTTAAACAGACTTACTTACGATTAATTATGAATACGGCATACAAATTATCAATTACTAGCACAGAATTTTCTTCAATAAAAAAACGTCAATACAGAATATACTCATCATTCCAGATTTTTAATTTGGTCGTGACTATATTACAATTATTCATTGAGCTTTACTTGTATTTGAAATTCCTTTTTAGAACAAAGTATTAATTTAATTCAGCATTTAAACAGTAACGTACATGTCATTTTAGGGTATTCGTAACATATGGCTATCATAAGGGAATATGAGATTGATGAGAAATTCCGTTTTTAGCTCCGCTGTCGACTTTGTGGAGTGGAGCTTACCATATGAGTGATTGTCCGTCGTTGTCGTCCGACGTCTCGTCCATCGTCCGTGTCAATGTTTTTCTTTTCCGACTTCTTCTTGAAAAAATACAAGCCTGAATGCTTTGATACTTGGTGTATATGTACCTTGGGTAGACCCCTCTCAGATTTGTTTGTTTTATGATGATATCTTCAATTCTCTAATTTTTGTGAATATTTGTGTCATTTTTGGTAAAAAGTAATATTTTCAACTTCTTGTTAAAAACCGCATGTCCAATTGCTTTGATATTACATATATAGGTACTACATGTGGTCCTCTCTCAAATTTGTTCATTTTGTGATGATATCTTTAATTCTCTAATTTTAGTGAATATTTTTGACATTTTTGGTAAAAAGTGATATTTTTGACTTCTTGTTGAAACCGCAAGTCTGGTTGCTTTTATATTACATGTATAGGTACTACATGTGGACCTCTTTCAGGTTTGTTAATTTCGCGGTTATATCTTTAATTATCTAATTTTGATGATTATTTTTGCTGAAAAGTGATATTTTTTAATTCTTGTTGAAAACAGCAAGTCATGTTGCTTTGATACTATACATATTGTTCATTTTTTAATGATATCTCCTGTTCTTTAATTGCAATGTGCATTGCTAACAGCGGAGCAATCTCAGCCGACAGGCTACTTGGTTATAGCTCAGTGTGTACTTTCGATTTATGGTGTTACATACATAGGAATTTCCTTCTGAAATTCGAGACATATTCGGGGACACCGTATGCACCAACTTATTGTTTAGGTTTCTAACTATATGTAGATATATTACTGTCACAGTTCAATCATACAACTACTTACTTGCGCAAGCGGAATCACCCAGCCTCGGGGCTATACTAGATGTACCCATAATTGTGAAGCAGCTATACCCTGTATTTGTAGACACAGAACCATTATCACACTGTACATATATGAAATCACCAGTCGCCAGCACAGTGCCGGGTGACGTCACCACGGTTGTGTCGTTACACGATCCATCTATCGCTGTAGTGTAGCAATCCACGTTAGATGGATGTGCTGGAAGGACACAGTTCGCTGTAAAAACAAGTAATAAACACATATGAAGACACTTAGGGGGAGACCGTGACAGTTACACACACTTTTCGTCAGTTTACCAGAGACTTGAGATACTAAAGACCATGATTCACCTAACAACAATGTAGTAATTAATACGTCATGGCGCATGGTACACGGTAATACCAGGGAATGACGTGACCATCACACGTGTACGTTTTGTGTCGCATGAAGTGTTCAGTTGGATCATACAGACTATGGCAAACGTGTGTATATAAAGTATACGAAAGTTACGAATAACAATTTTAGTTCTTATTATGTTGCAGGTTATTATTCCCTGGTCGAGTTCGATGCAAGAGAAATCGAACTATAATTTGAAACAACTATCTTCAAAATGATTCCTAAACTATGATACATAGAAATATATAATGAGCCTGACACACTTGGATGCTGACTTATTTTTATTTAGGATAAAAACATTAACTTTATTAACGCCTTCTTATTTACTATTTCATTTATCATTTGTTAAATCGTGGCTGCATAAAAAGAAGGATGACCGCCAGATTTCAGTATGAAAATGAAACTCGAGCATGGTGCATCGATTCGTGGTGCTTCGCGAAATAACTCTTTTCGGCACTCAGAATGCGCGCGGTACGGTATTTTTGTCGTACGCAACCATAGATATATAAGGGGTACAATTGTGATGTTAGTTTACACGTTGTGCGATATTTCAGCTTAATTCCCGCCTAGAAACAGTAAGAAAGCATGTCAATCATGGGTTTAGTCATATACAGTATATTAGAACTACTATACTGTCTAGGGTTTAAACAAAATCAAAGTGTTAATCACGAGCCTTTTATTCATTCTCTAAGCATAGTACTAATGATGTAAGTGATATGTTCTGAACTCTGCGGAAGGCTGCGGAAATGAAAACGAATTGATCACAACATTCCCGAATAAATTGTTATAAAATTTAAATGTTTTGATGGATTCATACAACACATACTTTCTTGAAGTATGCGACCACAAAGAGACACTAGCGCCACATACATATATATTTATTCTACGTCCGGATTTGGAATACCCTATATCACGTAGAAATACCACGTTGCGGCGACCGAATACAAATAATACTCTTTTTGATTATTAGGAAACTTAGGGGGTCCTTATATGATGCAAGCGTATAAATATATGTAAATCTCTAAGGTTTAATTTCAAAACTAATATACTGAGGAACTTAATGTGTGTGTGGAATAATTGTGAATAAAATAAAATGCACAAACCGAAAACTGAAATATTACACACGTGTTAACAATGTGCAATATCAATTCTTGGCAATGGACGTTTAGAAATAATGAATGAATATATATATATAGAGAGAGTGACGTGAGTCTGGGTGTTGATTTTCTAAGTGTGTTTGTTGTCTGTCAAGTCACCTCGGAAAACGAACACGTAAAATATGGTCACTTACGGTCGATTAATCGTGAAGCATTTTTGTGACGTGCGCACATGCAGGTGTGAGTTCCGGGATCAAAAGGTTCAGATGTGTGTCAGTGCCCTTTACTTGGACACCTACAATAGCCGTCAGTCAGTTGACAAGACTGCATCGCGTAA